GAGCCCAAAATGATATTATAAGGTAATAATTTTTAATGAGGTCTTCGAAGGCTACTTTATATCTGACTAATTTGAAGTAAGTTGGATGAGTTTATTTAAGAAGCAAAACTATCTCAACACCTTTTATTTTTATTCACAAGATTTGAACTTTAAAAACTCATTTAAGAGACATCCAACTCTTTATTTTTCAAATAATTCATTTAGGGAAATATTATAGTTATAAACTTTTTGTTTACAAACTACACTAAGTATGACCGGTCATACTCCAATCAAGAGTGTATGACCGATTGTGCCATTTGTAAAAAAATTTTTGTAAACGGATCCTTCTTCATTCATTTAAGAAAAATATTAATGATTGTTATTAGCGCTTTGCATGTGTGTTGTCCGCTACAAAACTTTATTGGATGCAACAGACACAAATAAGTGAGTCCCACTTGCTTAAAAAAAAAGCATGTCAGGATACAGAATTGTATCTTAGTGTTACTGTAGAATTTTTTTTTTGCAATGACAGTAGAACTATAAAATCCTTGTTATTATATATATATATATATATATATATATATATATATATATTAATATATATATATATATATGAGAAGAGATTTTTTGACTCTAGAGTAAGACTTACAACCGTTAAATGGACGGAAATCAACGGTTGAGATGAAGAGTAAGAGTTGTAAGTCTTACTCTAGAGTCAAAAGATTCATCCCCTATATATATATGTGTGTGTAACAATGATCACTAACATTTCTGATTGTTATATATTATTGACTTGTAACCCACAATTTGTTGGGTTTTAATTGTTGCAATTAGGACTTGGAGACCTGAAAACCATGCCAAAAGTGACTCACCAACCGTGAAGCACATCACCCTTTCACATTGTTGAAGTTGACGAATTGATCACGTACGCATAGACCTAATCCGAATTAAAGAAGGCTCCCTCTATCGCCTAATGCTTTTCAAATAATCATTCAAAGTAGCATTAATGACAATTTAGAAAATCAGGTTAACTCCTTTTTCCATTTACAGAATTATTGGCCCAAACTTCCATACTATAGACTTCAGAATCTAGACCCTCCAATTCAGGAGCTCATTTTATATGGGTCGGAACTTCAAAGTTTCTGTTCTAAAATGAAAAACAAAATAGATGGAGAGAGAATTTGTAAAAAAGAGAAGAATTTAAGTGAAAGAAATTTTTTCCGTTTTGAGAAAATGTACACCTAAAAAATTGTTGACCGGGTCTATAATAAAAAAATCCCCAATCCAGATTGTATATGATCCTATACCCTAATATAACATCTTTCAGGTTACGTAATTTGCTAGTAGTGATTCGTTAGCACCGCAGAACAAATTCAAGAATATGACGTACAAAAATCAATCCATACCTAAGTTTAACGAACAAAACAACCTAATTTCAACGTCTCAAGTAAGAGAATTGAATTGAAAAATTGCTTTCAATAATTTTTAAAATAAAAAATGGGGTCCATTTTTTGGACTTTGACTAGCATGTAGCCATCATATAGTCTATAGGCTATATATAATATAGGAGGAGAATTGGTCCACTTCGATAAATGAAAAAATGATTTAAAACCGATTGTTTGGTTACACAGATTTAGAAAATGCAATCATCAGATCAAAAAGACCAAAAGGTCCCTTTGTCTAGAAGTAGAGCATAGAGATCTGTCAAAGTCAGAGAACCAACCACAGTTGTTGTTGAATCTTCTTTGATTCAGTGTCTGCTTCGTAATTGAACACGTGGAGCAAACTTCTTCTTCTTTTTAATTTTTTTTTTAATTACGAACCAAACTTCACCGACACCATTCCACTTCCTATAATTATTTTATGAATTTTACTGGAGATATTATCTCTCTAAATTAATGAAGAACGTTTTTATAAAATTAATTTAACAAAAAAATAATTAAATTTTTTAAAATATCCTCCATAATCTTTTCAATTAATTTCTCAATTCCCGATGTAATTTAAAGATTTTTGAAGATAATTTTATTTTCTTATGACAGGAGAATTTTTTTTTATTATATTACTCTTTTATTTTCAAAATATGAATTTATTATTTTATAATTTATTTTAAAAATAAAAGAATAATTATTTTTAAATTTTATCATTTCTTATTATTCTACAGCGTAAAATAATAGAAAATATTAATAAAGTGAGAGGTTAATTTAATCATACGTACTTATATTCTCAAAATTCAAACTATTTAATATTTATATGATCCTATTATAAATAATTTAAATGATTAGTAATTTAAAATAAAATTATTATTATTATTCTACCTAAATATGTAACCCACCAATTATTTATTTGTGACTGTTACAAGCTATAATTATAATTTAAACAGTCAAACCGCCCCACCCAGAAAAGGAGGATAGGAAGGGTCAGAAACTAATGTCTTTTTCCTTTCTTTTTTTTTGAAATATTATAAGTATGAATTAAATTGTTTATAAATTTTTACAACCAAATCATAATTGTTGATTTTTATTAATTTAATACTTAGAATTTATCAATAATTAATAATTAATTATTAAATATGATTTAATAAATTATAATCGTTAAATTAATAAAAATTAACGATTAAAAATTTATTATAAAAATTTGTAAATAATTTAATTTATAAATATAACATTCATCTCATATTAATACGAGTTTTACTAATGATCGAGTACACGTATTAAGTAATGAATTAAAAATTAAAAAAATCATTTAATATATTTAAATTTTAAAAATTATTCTTAGTTACATAATAAGTAACTTTAAGTTTTTTTTTTTTTACTTTTGATATTTAAAAAGTAACTTTAAATAGTAATTATTTTGAGTCAGATGAGATTAACTTAAGGAGCCGTTTGGTACGAGTCATTCTGCAGGATTTTCAGGAAACTGAATTTTTCTAAATTTTTAATTTTTAGATATTATCATAAATTGAATGTAAAAATCATATTTCTGAAAATCGAGATTCTCGGATAAAAAAAAATTTCTCTTCTACCAAACGCCCACTAAGAGTAAAAATTTTGCCCACACCTGTTTTTACCACTCATAAGAGTTAAATATAAAATTTTGCTTATAAAAAACTAAGCTTCTTAGCACTTGGATTTGTAAATGTTAACTTCTTGTTTTGATGAAAGTATAAATAATTTTATACATTCAGCACTTACGTAATTTTCTTATTACTTCCCTCAAACTTAAAACTGAGTTCTAATTTCAGGTAATAAAAACTACTTACCATATCAATCCCTACATTATAACCACCTGAAACGCACTTTTAACTCATGAGCAATTTCTAAGAGCCTGTCTATCAATCCATTTATTATAATTTATAACCACCAGAAACGCACTTTTAACTCATGAGCAATTTCTAAGAGCCTAGCTAATTGGTACATTTTTTTAAGTTAAAAATTATTTTTAAGTTAATTTCTTTAAAAAAGCTTAAAAAGTAAAGCCAAAAAGTTATATTAAATCATTATGAGGGTTTTAAAGAAAAGAAGATGAAACAATTTGCTATTAGATAGATTATTAGGTTAAACGATAAAATTAATAAATACAAATTTAAAATAATGGTGAAATTGAAAAATAAATATAAGAAGTCTAAAAAGTAAATATATATGTTAAAAAAGTTCTTCTTGGAAGTTTTTAATTTGTATCTTTTTATTTATTATAAAAAATTATAATAAGAGCTTTTTTTTGTAAAAATATGATTGATTAAACTTCCGTTTATAAGTAAAAAATAAAATAAAACTTCTAAAAAAAGTTCACTAATAATATAAAGGGCTTTATTAATTTTAAGTTATAGGTGAATAATTTTCTCCAACTATAGAAACAATTATGGGTGAGGTCTACTCATTTATAAAAATTAAAAATAAAATTAAACTACACAAAAATCAATAAATATGTAAAAAAGAGATATTATTTTATGTTACATTGGAATAATATTAGTAACATAAAATAATATTTCCTAATATAAATGGTTACACTACTATGAATTATTGAATTGCGAAACGCAAACATGATATGAATCAGACAACACAATTTGAACCACGTGTTCGTTTTGCTGGGGACAAGTTAAAGGACAAAGAGTGATGGGGAATTGGTGCCAGTGTTGTTGAATTACTTTTTCGGGCAATTTGTGATAATTTAAGTGAAATGATTGAACGAAGGGCACTGTTTTAATCTAAAATAAATAAATAAAAACAAAAAAAACATAAACATATTATTATAAGATAAAATTATTTCTACAGCCGCGCACATATAACAAGTCAGGATAGAAATCCGAATTTTAGAATATGTTCCTTATATTGATATTTTTTAAAAAAAATAAATAATAGGACCCACTTTTTTATGTCATAGCAGCTCTGCCCGCTGTAGAATAAATATCCTCTTATTGAAAATTAATATTTTATAAAACAGAACAATATAGTCACATGGAGTGAAATTTTTAATCACAAAAACGTGTTTCATTATTAGTATATTATGCATTAATGCTATGCCGAACTAAATATCTAAAATAATAGTATATGGTGCAACTGATACAGCAATTTGGATTACAGTGTGCGTATTAAAAATATTAGAGACGATATATCAGTATAAATAATCTATAGAATTTTATTAATTTCATGTAATATGATAGAAGCCTTCTTATACTATAGATACAATCATGTGTGAGATCCATCCATTTATAAAAAAAAAAAGAAACAGCACAGAAATCAATGTATGTGTAGGAGAAAAAAACACATTCCTAATCTAGATTGAAATAATTAAGCATGACGTGTCGGTGATCTGACTAGTGTTTTTATAAGACTCAAATCCGAAAGCATTATTGTCCGAATATTTTGGCTTGAGGGCTCATCAGCTGTCTAAACACCATCTTTGTTCTTTCTTACACTCTCTCTTCGCAATTAAGATATAAGAGAAGCCTTTGAACACACACACAAAAAAAGAAAGATAAAAGAGAAGCCTGGAGTAGTTGATCTTTGTGGGTGAAAGATAAGATGAATACAAGTTCTGTTCATTGACACACACAGTGACAGAGTTATATATATATATATATATATATATATATATATGTCTGATAATAATTGTTTGATGAGATTAGATTAGATTAGAGATAAGAAAGAGAAAAAAGAGTGATAGGTCTGGCCGGGTTAAAAAGAATAAAGGTGCCATTTCGGCATAGGAGGAAGAGCAAGAAGAAGAAGAAGACACCACCAACACCAAGAGTCAAAGACAAGTTAATGGATATTTGGCACAACATGATTTTTCCTGTTAGGCGTGTCTGGCTTGCTCTCTCTTCTCGCCTCAAACCTCGCAAAAACGGTATCTACTTACTATCTTCCTCTCTTTACCTCACATAATACTCATCTTCTCATCATCTCTACTTTTCTTGTCTCTAGCCACACCAACTTGTTATGTTTTCATCACTTTTTTTGTTATATATAATTATGTATATATATATATGTGTGTGTATTCTGAGAGCCAATTCCCCATTAACGGTGGTGGTTATTTAAACATCCATCACATAGAATATAAACCATACATGGAAATAGAAGGAAAAACCATTCCGCAACCCTCTCTGTTTTTTTTCTTCTCTGTTTTCTCAAATATAATGGATTTTCTCTATCTATTTTTGCACACAAGTCTTCAATTCCTCCTCTTTCTACTGTTCAATACTAATCCAATTGCTATGGTTTTGTTTTGTCCCTTTTTATCTGAAATTACTACAAGTCTAAACTTCGTCTCAGAACTTATTTTGACCCTGGATCCTCCCCAGCCATTATCTTCAATTCAAGCCCTCAAATGCGCTCAATTCTGCATAATATAATAATAAAAAAGAAGAATGACACGTTTACAAACTTATAAATTACACTATATCTGACTGGTAATATTTTACTTAATAGTGTTTCACTGGTCAGAGATATGTAATTTGTAAATATTTTTAAACAAAAAAATTGTAAATACAACATTCCCTTAAAAAAGACAAGTAATTTTACCTTTTTTTTTTTATGTCTATTTTCTTCTATCATTTTTTAATATCATTAAATCACAGAATTTCAAGAGAAAAAACAGAAAGATAAAAGTTAATTAAGATTCTAATTTAACGGTGTTTTAACGTGGTAAAGAAAAAATAGACAAAAAAATAAATAAATAAAACAACCTGTCCTAATAAAAATATGAGTTTTTATTTTTTTCTGCCCACTTGTCTTTAAAGTCGATTTTCTAGGCGTTGGTTTATTTAATGACAGAGACGTGCACTGATAAATATTTGATGCAGATTAACAAACACCACCAATGTTTATGTGTGTCTCTTTATTGCCTATCGATTATTAAAAGGGTTGCTTAATTTAAATCCACTAAGCACGCCACTTCCAGACAAAAGCAACCACATATAAATTACACGTGTATGCCTGCCTAAATACTAAGTTATTCATAAATCATACTTTCCTACATCACGGACACGCATTTTAACTACATTTTTCCGGCCAATATGCCCCCCCTGCTATTTTTCCCTTAATATGGTTCTTTACATAACAAGTGGTCAGTGATAACTAAACTAACCTTTGATCTGCCCTGGCACTGAAAGACGAAGATTAAGATAGGATCTACATATTTTTCAGTGCAACTTTATGCCCCCCAACATTTCAGTGGTGGCCTGAAAACAACATCAAAGTATATTTAAGGGAAATATAAGTATTATGTTGTAGGAAAATGGTTATATCATGTTATAGACACAATCAATGTGGATCCCACCATTTTTAAAATAAAAAGAAAAGAAAGTGGTGGGATCCACATTGATTGTGTCTATAGCATGACATAGTTATATTCCTACAACATGATTAGTTCTATTTTCCATATTTATAATGACCCGCTTTTTATAACACACAATGGCCTAGAAGTGTACTTGTACCGCAGTCCAAGTTTAGTGACAGGACCTATATTTGTTTATTTTTACATCAATGCTCTTCGTACAAGTGAAAAGGATCTCAAAAAGAGTGTCAGAAAATCATATTGTACTATTGCTCAATATATAACAGGAAATTATTGATAGTGCGCTTTTTAATTATGAGAAGCACTAACATGAACCTTTTGTTTGCTGCAGGAGTAGGACTGCTGAAGCTTCAGGATGATGTACAGACATGTGGATATCAGGATGTGCAAGTGATGTGGGAAATGCTAAAAAGAACCGAAAGTGAAGTTATAGACAATCACCATAAGCGCAAGCAATTGCCGTTTTGGAGAATTTTTGTATGGTCCAACCATAGTGAAGCTTCATCAGAATCTAGAAATCACACTTAAGTTTTTCATGTTTACAAATAAAATAGTCTGCAACATTGCACCATTGCAGACGCATAATTCTTGTTTACTAAAGCTAAAAGTCCCGAGTCACTATGATAACAAAATCATGAGGTTTCTCTAATTGTACCACTGTACCTGTGACAGTAATATGTGAATATGCCAATAGTTTGTCAAAAGTCACACCCAATATATAGCTTTTGGGGAATAGCTACTGCTTCTTAAAAAACAAAGTAATTTCATGTCACTCACATTTAAACGACTCCGTAAAGCCGAAAGATTACTATAAATAACTATAGTTACTGTTAGTAACATGATTATCTCTGTGCCTATAAAATAAAATACAAGTTAGAGAGTAATTAGAGTAATTAAAATTTGGGGAGGGGGCTGAGCCTTTAGCCATCACTGTTCCCCCGCATTCCGTATTAGTCCTATAGCCGGCTCAAAGAGTCGAAGCTCGTGGGGATACCGGAGGGAGTCAACTCGTCTCAAAGAGATAATTAGGGTTGGGTAACTCCAAAAAAATCCTAATTCAAAACTTGTCACATGCTGTAGAAATGAATGCATTTCGGTGATTGTAGTGTAAAATTTATCTACATTTAGACAACAACTGTGTTCAAAGACGCAAACAAGTACATGATGTACGTGATTATCACAGAAACATGGATTCCCCTTCCAGTCCATTGGATTTTGCTAGCCCACACAGCAATCGAGTTAAAATGAAGATTTGTGCGATTTTGCTTTTCATCATATTTAATTCCATGTGTATTGAAACTGGGAGGTTCTACTTGCTAACCGTCATAAAGTATAATTTTCAATAGAATGCTTTAATAGAATGTCAAAACTAGATTACTTATAGAACACAAAAAAGAAGGCTCTTTGACCAGTTTGGAGTTTTTCCCATTTAAATATACTAATTTGGTATCCGATTAAGAGATATTACCATTTGGGGTCTTTGAGTGCCACACGGGGGACCCAGCGACTCTAAATGACGCCCCCATCCCCTCGCGGCACTCATGTGATTTGTTTGTTTTTTTCCCTGAAACCAATGCCGCCCCTTGTCTCCCACGCACCAATTAAATTTTTTATTTCTTAACATTGCCACCCCCTACCCCCACGGCACTTAATGTAATCAATCCGATATACCAACAAGATAAAAAACAAATCTTGTCCTTCGTAACAATTGCTTATTACTTCCCTTTGATAACCAGCAGTCTCTTAAGTCTCAATTAGTTGAAACAATATTTAAAAAAAAAACCACTCAATAACAAAAGGAAATTTGAAATAATTTATGCACAAGTCCATCATAACAGATGAATCAGAAAGCTCTATTTACATGAGAAACTTTTTCAACTCCACTAGCAATGGGTTGCTGCAGAAGTGAGTGAAAACAAAAATCTGTTAGATGTCTTGGGATTTCGAAAGAGAACTAAAATGATAAGCTAAAACTTTGCAGAAATTGAACTTATTCTATTAACATAGTAACAAACATATAGCTTCCCAAAAAAAAAGGACAGAAAGTTCATCTCATGTACAACTTGAAAAATCAAAAACAGAACAGAAATACCTTGAAGAAAACATGAATCTAGAGAAGACTTAATGAAATTAATGCAGAAGTATTTCTATACATTTTAAATCTTCACTCTGAAGTTGAACCACTGATGGAATAAACCATGAGGTTTAGCTAGACATGAGGCCTACCAGTGCCTCCTGTTTGTGATTGTGGTTGTCTTCTACTACCCACCAAGGTGTGTTAAGAGTCAGCATGGCTGTTGCTTTCCTCTTCTGTAGCATCAGGAAGATTAAGATAAAGGAAGTCCCGAACTTCTGCAGCAACCCATTGCTAGTGGAGTTGAAAAAGTTTCTCATGTAAATAGAGCTTTCTGATTCATTTGTTATTATGGACTTGTGGATAAATTATTTCAAATTTCCTTTTCTGACTGAGTTGTTTTGTTTTAAAATTTTTGTTTCAACTAATTGAGACTTGAGAGACTGCTGGTTATCAAAGGGAAGTAACGAGAAATTGTTACGAAGGACAAGATTTGTTTTTTATCTTGTTATTATATATCTGATTGATTACATTAAGTGCCGTGGGGGTAGGGGGCGGCAGTGTTAAGAAATAAAAAATTTAATTGATGCTGTGGGAGACAGAGGGTGGCATTGGTTTTGAAAAAAAAAAAAAAAACAAATCATATGAGTGCCGTGGGGGAAGAGGGTGTCATTTAGAGTCGATAGGTCCCCCCCATGCGGCACTCAAAGACCCCAAATGATAATATCTCTCAATCGGATGCCAAATTGGTATATTTAAACGGAAAAAAACTCCCAACCGGTCAAAGAGCCCAAAAAAGAACATAGTATAGGATGAAAATTTTACCATGGTAGCTGCAAGCAAGCATGTAAGTTCACTTCATTGCCTAATATTGTTTTGATGATTTCTTGTATTAGTTAATTTCAATATATATATAAAATTATCCAAATATATAATGCAGAGTCGATATTCAATATATCATATTGAAATATCTGATAGAAACTTTAAAAAAAATATAAAAGGAAATATCTCTCCAGTGACGATGGAATTGAAGCGCATCTTGTGATAGAAACTTCTAAGGTGTACTCAGAAAATTATTTTCTTGATGAGAGTGGAGATTCCTGAACACTATTTCGATCATGGTACCGAAATAGGGAAAAAAGAAAAATAGTGAGAGAGGGCAAAGCAAAGTGGGGTTTGATATAGTGTGGAAGCCTCAAAGCCCAAAGGATATGATCCGCAATGAAATGAAATCCAAAACACAACTTGCACAAGTTGATAGAGAGTCCACTGCGACGTAACACAACACTGAGAAAATGTTACTGAATAATTTTTCTATTGGTACACAAAATGATAATTGTAATTATTTAACTTTGTGACTTCTAAGCAATTCAAAACGTCTTGCTGGAATATGGCTGGGCTGCCAATGTGACTTGAGAGGCGTAACTTTTAATGGACTTTGTCATAACTAGTTTTATTTTCTAATACATGAAAATGAGAGGGCCAACTTATGCAAGTATAAATCAAATAATTTTGTTGAATATCGAAAGTATAAATCAAATAATTTTATTTTTTGAGATATTCCAATCGGTTCATTGCTTTGCGACTAGTCCGATTCGGAGCAGTTCCTGGGATTAAAGCCTTAAACTCCTTCCAAATATGGTACTGGGGAGAATCGAACACATGCTCTCACCTCCACCTGCTCAGTTTTTTGGCGCCAGTTGAGCTACCACCATTTGGTTAAATCAAATAATCTAAGTCAAGTTCGGCCCCTTGGAGATCGAGATAATTACTCCAGCTCGATGTGTTGCTGATTCACAAAAACTTGTAGTGATCACGACAAGTATACCGGTCGTAAAAGTAATAAAGAAGTGAGTAGAGTTATCGTTCCCACGAGGATTAAATATGCTAATCATTGTTCTCACTATTCCCCTTAATTTAGACGAATCAAGATGGATTTAAGAAGAGTAATAAGGGGAAACAAATACTAAAGAGTAACCAATTGCAATAGCAGGCTCAGGTAATTAAAAAGGTGGATTTGAAAATCAATACAAAAAACTACAATTAGGGTTTATTCCACCTCAGATCCTCCTTAAGTGAACTAATTCAATCCATTAATATTTCATCTCAATTGGTTCAAAAAATTCATCATCTAAAGATTGGTTAGTTAGATTCTAATGTCTTAGTTCTTTAACCCTTTAACCCAATTAGAATCCTAATGTCTTAGAAATCGTTTTTAGATTAAGCATTAAGCGTGATGAATTATGAAGTTCACGATTCCTACAAGCCTATATCTAAATCATGCATGAATTGGTGTTTTACCCCTATCAAGATTAAAATCCCAATATGTCTATTTTGAACCATAACCCTTTTTATTCCTATATAAGTGATCAATTCATACAAGAATTTAAATAAGCAAATCGAGGTAAACACAACAAATAGAGATAATTTATTAATGAAAGAATTAATCCAAAATAAGGATTCATGTCCCTAACTACAAAAAAAACTAGCCTAGCATAATGCAATAAACATAAACAAGAGATGAAAGGAAGCAAGAATCCATAATAAAACTTGGTGATTAATCTCCAAGATGAAACTTAGACTCTTCCTTCGTGTACCTCTCCAAGAATCGCCTTTTCTTTCTCCTCAAATCATCCTCCCAAGTCGTGCTAAAACCTAATCCTTTTTCCCTATTTCTATTCTGTCTTTATAGAAAGGTGCATGGGCTTTTATTTTCGACACTGCTTGATATGTTGCTCGATGAATCGAGCAAACCATCGAGCAGACTTGTAAAATTGACAATTTTTTAGCGGGACGCAATGTGAAATCACTCATTGGCTTCCATTTGGCTCGTGTCTTGACTTCCTTAGAATTTCTTAATTCATCAATGCTCTATTATAGCAATTTTAACCTGAAATCAGTACACTTTTCAGTCAATATCTTACCAAGAATGAAAACTAGACAAATCTTTTGCACCTAATAATATTTTCTATGTCTTTGACTATATTAAACATTATTTAACATATTTTGGTCGTAAACAAAATAACATAATTTACACTTAACATTCTTCATAACTTAGCCTTAGATGATGATGTTTTGTGAGAATAATGAGGGCTGGGCAGATGTTAGCTTCGTCAAATTTATTTGCCACACATCTTGTATGTATTAAAAGGCATGATATTTTATTCTTGTTTTGCAAGAACAAACCTCTCTGATTTATATACTACATATATGTTGCATTATCTCATATCCATGATAATTTGACAATGCTTCCAATTTCTATTTAAAAGAGAATTATTTTTTCGTTGTTACTGCCATTATGGTTTACTGCCTTTTTACATACTAAGGTTTTTGCTCCAATCTATAATTTTAATTCTCACCAGACATTAGCTAAAGGGGATGGAAAGAGTTCTTTCAAATTCCCGTCAAGTTACATTGATTGCTGATTTAAGCTAGCATATTAGCATTTCAAGCAGTCAACTTCATGTTATTACAACTTGTCTTTTCCAAGGATGTTGCCTTTCATACGTAAAGTATGTAACACCCTGTGTATACTCGGAATATTATCATTACATCGTATTAAGCGGTGCTTAATTAAAAATGCGGAATATTCTTTTTCTTTTCAATTATGACGTCATTATCAATTACCATCTTGATTACTTAATCAATTTCATAAA